TTGACACAGTAACTGGAGAAATGGGAAACATAAATCTAAATGAGATAGCCATCTCACTCTAGCAGCAATAGCAAGGTTTTAAAGGACAGTCAACAAGAAAGGCAGTAAGGATACAGAGAGATTAGGAACTCTTATGCACTGCTGGTGAGAATGAGACATAGTACAACCATTATGGAAGGCAATGTGGTGTTTCCTCAAAAAGCTAAAAATAGAAACCTTCCTACTTCGCTACTGAAAACACACCTTTAAGAAATCAGAACTGCAACAGGAACAGACGTATCACACCTATGTTTACTGCACTATTATTCACAGTAATACAGAGATCAAAGTGGTCAAATGCTCATCAAGAAACAAATGGACAGAAAAATTTTTGTACATTCACATAATGGAATACAATGCAGCACTGAAGAACTTCTGAAACTACATAATATGGACAAATCTAGAGGTCCATTATGCTGAGTGGAATAACTCAGTTACAAAATGACCAATATTGTTGTTGCTATGTGCCATCAAGTTGCTCGTGACTCACAGTGACCCTATGGACAACAGCTCTGAAGCCTGCCCTGTCCTGAGCCAATCTCACTGATTCTGACACACCTACTCCCATTTCCCCAGTTACTGTATCATTTAATCTCATTTGAGGTCTTCCTCTCTCACGCTGTCCCTCTACCCTTCAAGCATGATGTTGTTCCGCAAAGAGCAGTCCTTCCTGGCCATGTGCCCAAAGTATGTGAGACGGAGCTTCAAAATCCTAGCCTCTAAGGAGAAACTTGATTTCACCCTCTCCAAGATAGACTTATTAGATTTCTTGGCAGTCCATGGTAGTGGTGGTGGTGGTTGTTATGTGCCGTTGAGTTGCCTGCGACTCATAGTGACCATATGTACAACAGCCCTAAACTCTGCCCTATCCTGTGCCAATATCACCATCTCTGACACACCTATCCCTATTACCCCAGTCCCTGAATCAATCCATCTCATTGAGAGTCTTCCATTCCTGCGATGTCCCTCCACCTCCCAAGCATGATGTCCCTCTCCAAGGACTAGTCCCTCCTTGCAGCATTTCCAAAGTATGTCAGATGAAGCTTCAGAATCCTTGCCTCCAAGAAGCAGCCCGGCTTCACCCTCTCCAGGACAAACCTATTTGTTTTCCTAGCAGTCCATGATATAATCAATACTCTTCTTCAACACTACAGCTCAAAGGTATCAAATCTCCTTCTATCATCCCTAGTCACTGTCCAGCTCTCTGATGCATAGCATGTGATTGCAAAGACCATGGCATGTATCCGGTGCACCTTAGTCTCCAGACTGACATCTTTGCACTTCAGCACTTTAGAGAGATCTCTAACCACAGGCTTTGGCAGTCCATAGTACATTCAAGAATCTTCTCCAGCACCACAAACCAAAGACATCAATTCTTCTTCTGTAATCCTTAGTAAATGTCCAGCTCTCTCATGCACACCAAGTAAAAGTGAAGACCATGGTCTGGATCACCCACACCTTAGTCTCTAGACTGATATCATTGTTTCTCAGTACTTCAGAGGTGTCCCTGAAAACAGATTTTCCCAGCACAATTAGTCTTTTGATTTCCTGAATGCTGGTGCCAAGACAGCTGATTGTGGAGCCAAGCAAACTGAAGGTGTTAACAACTTCAAGCTCTTCTTCATCCACCATGGTGCTACCATTTGACCCAGTGCTGAGCATCTTTGTCTTCTTGATGCTGAGCTTCAATCTATATTGAAGACTACAGTCCTTAACCTTCTGCAGCAAGCATTTCAAGTCCTCCTTAGTTTCATTTGCATAATGCAGGTTGTTGATGAGTCTTCCTCGAAGCCTGATGCTACTCCTCCTCTTCATAAAGACCAGCTTCCAGAATGTTCTTTTCTGCATCTAGATTGAAAAACTGTGAAGACAGGACACATCCCTGATCCACTCCTTTCCTGATTTTGAACTATGTAGAGTTTCCTTGCTCGGTTCTCAGGACTGCTTTCTGGTCCAAGTATTGGTTTTGCCTAAGCACAATCAAGTGTTCTAGGATTCCCATTCTGCTCTAGGTTAACCACCATTTGTGAGCCACACAAACAAATGCTTTTGCAAAGTTAATCAAACACAGACATTCTTCTGGTACTCTCTCCTTTCAGCCAAGATCCATCTAATATCAGCTATAATATCCCTAGTACCATGGCCTCTTCTAAACCCAGCCTGTACATCTGACAATTCTCTGCTGATGTGCTGTTCAAGTCAATTTTGGATTATTTTCAGCAGAATTGTGCTTGCAAGGGATATTAATGATACTGTTCAATAATTTCCACACTCTGTAGGGTCACCTTTCTTTGAAAGGGGAACAAATATGGATCTCTTCCAGTCAGTTGACCAGGTGGCTGTCCTCCAGATTTCTTGGCACCACTTGGTGAGTACATTCAAGACAGCATCTGCTTGTTGAAATATGTCAACTGTCATGCCATCAATGCCTGGGTCCTTGTTTTTTGCCAAGTCCTTCAGAGAAGCTTGAACTTCTTCCTTCATCACTACAGGTGCTTGCTCATACATTGTTTCATGAAATTCTTCTATGTCAGACAATTCTTTCTGGTACAGTGACTCTGTATACTACTCTCATCTTCTTTTAGTGCTTCTGCGATCATTTAATATTCTGCCGAAAGCATCCTTAAGTATTCTAACTTGAGCCCTGGATTTGTTCTTCAATTCCTTCAGCTTAACAAATAATGAAAGAATTCAGCCCTTTTGATTTTCTGACTCTAAGTTCTTTGCACATTTCATCGTAATACTTTGCTTTGTCTTCCTGAGATGCTCTATGAAATCTTCTGTTCAGATCCTTAACTTCTCTATTTCTTCCCTTTGCTTTGACTTCTTGGAGATCTAATGCAATATTTAGAGTCTCGTCTGACATCCATCTTGGTCTTTTCTTTCTGTCTTTTAAATGACCTTTTGCATTCCAGCTATTTACAAAATTCAAATACATGGTTTTCAAGAACAAATTATTTTAATTTCCTTCATCGCCCCCACTCAACAACTTGGACAACCCCATGATTAATCCCCCCTCCCCCTGCCCCCAAACATCCTCATCCCTCTGCTTCCAACCTCTCCCACCCCTCTTGGATTCTTATACTCATTCTACAATAATGGTTTTATACAATATTTATCCTTGTGGGACTGAGTTCATTCAGCATAATGCTCTCCAGTCCCTCCTAAGTTAGGTAATAATTTACAAAATCACTGCTCCTGTGTGCTGTGTAATATTCTATTGTATGAACGTACCCTAATTTCTCAATCCATTTGTTTGTGGTTGGACATCTGGGCTGTTTCCATGTTTCTACAATGATGAACAATGCTGCTATGAACATTGGTGTACAAATCTCCATTTGTGCCTCATACCTTTTCCATTCTTCATGCATAATATTCTTAATATCCTCATGTGGTCTTTGTTCATTAGTTTTTAAGGACTCAAACCTGTTCCTAAGATGGTTTTGAAATTCAAGTGGGATAGCTCAAAGTTTGGTTCCTGTGGATTTAAGCTTCTTTTGCTTCAGCTTGAACTTGTATATGAGTAGGGGGTAATCTGTTTCACAGTCAGTACCTGACCTGGTTTTCACAGGTGATACTGAGCTTCTCCAGCAATTCTTTCCACAGATATAATCAGTCTGATTCTTACTCATACTATGAGGTGAAAGCCATGTATTTGTTCTGTGTTTGTTTCCTGTATAAAAATATTGGCAATGAATACATCAATGATTACAAAGAATTCTATCATTCTATCTCCAGCTTCATTTCAGTCACAAAGCCTATCTTTTACAACTACTGATCCTTCTGTGTTCCCAATTTTTGCATTCCTGTTACTCATTATTAATAATACATCTTGACTGCATATTTGATCAATTTCTGACTGCAAAAGTTGTTAGAAAGCTTCAGTTTCCTCCTTTTAGGTTCTAGCTGTTGGTGCATATATGACAGTGGTATTCACAATCACCTAGCAATCATCATTTTTTCCTAAGATTAATAATTTTTGTAACAATTCTCAGATTCATTTAGTAAACTATATCATGGTACTTTGTCTTCAATATTCAAATGTGTTCCTGAGATGAAGACTATAAATCTCAAATAAAATACCTTTTAACTGCACTGCACTGCTGATGCAAAGATAGAGAGTGTAAACCCATCAGCTCCTCCACAGAAGATAGACAATCTCCTCACGTACATTTTATTGCCTCTAAAAAGCTGCTATGACTTGATTCTGAGTCAAGTGGTATAAGACTTGTTCTTTGGGGAATCAGAAGGTGGGGGGGAATCAGATTAAGTGTAAGCTTCTCAAGAATTAATCAATTTCTAAGAAACATTCACTTCATTACTATGTAAGTATAAAAAGTTCTGGTGGTGCAAAGTTAATAGCTCACACACTATTAATCAAAAGCTTGGCAGGCTACTTCACCTTGCAGCACTAAGAGGAAAAAAAGACCCAGTCATATGTCCCTGTAAAGGTTACAATCTAGAGTGGCTCTACTGTCACAAGCATTTGCTGGTTATAAAAACTGACACATCAAACATTACTCCTTCAGATAAACATCTGAAATTGATAAGTTTATCCTCTTCCTTTAAACTGCTATCAATAGCCTAAATTTTATGAAATCTAATATTCATCTAGTTACTTTACTTTCAAAATAAATGACAAATTTATTTTACGTTAACAAAAAACTCTTTTTAATTCACTAAGTTTTCCAGGCATCTATCACCTCCCAGAGTGTGAGAGATTTCTAAAACATTACTAAGATTCCTACATTTTTAGGAACCTAAATCTTAAAAAAAATAATGTAAAGCATGTCTGAATCAAATTTCTGGTTTCATGAAACTAGAAATCATGCTTGAGGAATAGCAAAGTTGCTGCATATTACGTGAAAGTGTTCTCTGCTTTGCACTGGTTTTAAATTTATTATAATGGGGTTATTAGAACCATAAGGACTTCATAGCCTGCTGAAACTGGCATTGCTTACCTGCATCAGCTCTGGACCGCTGGCCAGGCGTCTTTCCGAATGGGGTCTTCATTCATCTGGATTTAAGCGAGCAGCAAAGCTGCTGGACTAGGGTGAAAATTCAATAATCTCCAACTGGAAACTTCTCACAAAATTTTAATGTTCTTGTTAATCCACCATCCAAATATCTCTTTTACGAAATCAGTAAAAATACATGAATTCACCTGTGAAGTTCACCTGTAAAATAGTGAAATATTATTTTATTACAAGAGGACCAAAAGAGCAAAATTAGAGCAAGAGAGCTACTAAATGTAACACAAAACTTAGTCATTCAAAGATACTTTGTGCAGAAGCATTTTCATTCTTAAAGGCTGGATTCCTTAAAGGGGATGAAGTAGTAGAGAGAGAGAGAAAAAAAGATGCGGTGAACTCTAAGTAAAGAAGCCATTAAGACTCAAAAGCAAAGTTCCTCATAAAACTACTGGAATACAGTAAAACCTATGGTGCTACGTATGTTGCCTGGAACTGGAATCACCTAGACAGCAACTAACAACAATATAGCTGCTTGGTGTCCCACACTACATTCCAATCGATCTGGCTACTTCAATTCAGCTAGCTTGCAGGGAGGGAGAAGGATATTAGGGTTTCAGAAGAGATTCTGGGTAGCACAGCCCTATATTAAAAACAGCAAGGTAGGAGACTCCTCTTCCCTCCTACAGAGCTGCTAGTGGGTTTGAACCGCCTACCTTTAGGTTGCAAGACAAATCCTTACCACTAAGAAAATATACAGTATGCAAAACAGCAATATAATACTAAGAAAATTCTTCTCTAAGGTGATTCTACCATTCTGACTATCCAAACTTGTTCTGGAAAACCTGCTTTTTAGCAAAATGCTGTTAACACCATAGGATCCTAACACATTCCCCAACAACTCCCACATGGTGGTTCTATTCCTCATTGCATACTTGTGTGCAACTTTTCTAACTAACCACCCAATGTGAAAGTGCACACTATAAAACTAGTAATTCTTTTAAAAACCTCATTGCCATTGAGTCTGGACACTCTAAGGGTGTTTGAAACCAATTTATAGATGACACCAGGGTGATTTTCAGAAGCTGTAGATCCCACAGGAACAAAATGCTAGTATTTCTGTGGAACCACTAAGGGATTTGAACAGACAGAGGCACAGTCTGGATTAGCACTGGAACTCACTCTGGTCTATGCCATTTGAACAACCAACCAACCATTTAAGCTTCCCAAAGACTCTTAAGTATTAACTAACTTTTTGTCAACAAAATTTAAAAAGCTACTACCACAAAATTAATTCCAATTCAAATCCCCGGGTAACATGTATACATTACTGTGGATTTTGGCATCTGGTTTACTTCCTTTCTACTCTGAATCCCAAGATTACTGTCAACCCCAATATTCCCATATATGAACCATTCACTCTGTGCCCTAAGTTTTTCAACATCCTCATTTCAAATGGTTTACACTTCACTATTCCTACTAATGTCCAAACACCACTGTTGCTAAATGGCAGTTTCAAGTCCAACTCAATGCAACCTTATGGACAACAAACAGAAACACTTCCTACTCTTGTGTCATTTCTCAGACTATTTGAGCCCACTGCTGTACTTGCCTTATTCTCCTAGTTCATATGACTGGCAACCACAAGAGTCATCTTCTGGCCCCTGGGCATGGAAAATCCTTCAGATTTTTGATGCCTCATCCCTTTGGCACATCTTAAATGAAAACTGTACTCTGGAACTGACTTGACAAAGATTCAACTCTCTCTGTATCTTAGGAGGCTGTGGTTCCATGGCTCCACTGTTTGAAATAAGGGCAGTTCTCTAAAGCAACACTATCAACAAGTGATCTGAGCCATGCCCTATCCTACACCATCCTTACCATCTCTGATATGCTCCAGCCCACTGTTAAAGTTGCTGTGTCAATTCACCTTGTTGAGGGTCTTCCTTTCTTTTCTCTGACCCTAAACCTTTCCAAGAATGGTATCTTCCTCCCAAGATTGAGCTCTCTTGAAAACATGCCCAAATTATATGAAACCAAGTTTTACCATTCTTGCCTCTAATGAGCACTCTGTACTTCCTCCCATACAGACTTTTTTGCTCTTTTGACAATCCATGGGAAATTCAGTAGTCTTCTATAACACCGCACCTCAAAGACACTTAAGTTTCTACTTATTGCTCAATTCTAAAACCACTTCCACATTTTAGCTGTTACAGTAGCATCCCCACTTTACAGTATCAACTAAGACCTTATTATCACCACTAACAGTCAGTCATCACCAGTCAGAACCGACTGATAGCTGGCCTCCAGGGGCCTTCCAAGGCTGTAAATCACAAGAGGAAACTTGTCCATCTTTATCCTGAGTGACCACTGGTGGATCTGAACCACCAGACAAGCACAGGATTCAGGTGAGCATCACCAGTTTAGTTTCCAAAAATGATTAATCACTAATTCTACCCCTCTCCCCCATCTGCCTACATATTTTCATTTTCTTAATCCTATCTTCCTCGGTCACATGCAAACCGCTAACCCAATTATTTGCTGACTATCTAAACTTCAGCCAGGTAAATCTGACTGGCAAAATGCACAAAATGTAACTTCACATCTATAATCTCGGATCTAAAATGAGCCTTCAACACTACTGCCTCAATCTTCAACAGAATGTGTTTGCTGAATCAAACAAAAGAACCACTTATCTTCCCAGCCCAAATCTATGAACTGATTGGTACCCTGTACATCTATGCATTCCTGTGTATACCATCAAGTCAGAACCAATCCCACTGCAGACCCTTCAACATGTTATTAGAGGCAGAAAAAGTTCAGGAAGAGTCTTCCCGTCTTTTGCCTGTGGAGCAGTTGGTGGATTCAAACTATGTACCTTCAGGTTGGCAGCTAATTCCTTATCATAAAGCCACCAGAGCTCTCTTATGTACATCTATCCCTGAAACTTGTATTTCAATCCATCTACTGGATTACTAAATCCCACTGTTGTCTTCTGTATCAATCTTACCACTAGCATATTCTCATCTGTGCACAAAGTCTTATTCGCAAGAAAAAATAAAACTCTCATTTCCCCCATCCATGGTAGAAGTAAAAAAGTAAGAAAATAAAAAAATGGGTTGCACTGGTAAATGTGCAGCCAAGGACCTCCTTAAAAGGGCTAAAGACCGAAGATGTTATATTTTTAACTACAGTTATGTTTTTATCTTACAGCTTTGAAAGTACCACAAACTACATTAAAAACCATTTCACAATTGTTAAGGACTGTTTCAATATATTTGGTTTCCTTTGTCATCACGTATATTTAATGTTGAATTTAAATAAAAATTCTAAAATGTATGCATAGTTCTTACTGGATCACTATGAAGATAGCTTCTTGGGTGAGAATGCCCACAAGGCAAAATAACCACATCTTTGCTTTCCCATTTCACCATCATTTTGGACATCAGTCACCCACATGGCACTGTCTGAGTAAGTGAGACTTAAGAGGGCACTGACTTTGGATTCATTAATTCACTACTGATTTTGTAAGAGTAAACGAATATAAATCAGAATCATCTAAATACATGATACATAAACAAGTCTAGGAAGATTCTCAGCTGTTTTGTCTTAAAGAGGGCACACTGTCACCTCTTCAACTAGGAAGCTATCTAAGCTTAAGTATTTCACACCTTTTTTGGTGCCGTGGAGTCCAGTACGACTTATAGCAACTTATGAACAAAAGATCTGAACCCTGTTCTATCCTGTGCCATCCTCACACTTTCTGACATACACAAACCCACTGCACCAGTCAATCCACCACCTACTAAAGGGTCTTTCTCTCCTTGGCCAACATTCCACTTTTTCCAGCATCATGTCCTTCCTCCAAGGAATAGTCACTCCCAGTAACATGCCTAAAGTATGTGAGGCAAAGCCTCATCATTCTTGCCTCTAAAGAGCACTCCCACTGCATCCTCTCCAAGACATAACTATCAATTCTTTTTCTGTCTTTCTTACTCACTGTCCAGCTCTCAGATACATTGTTATTGGAAACACTATGGCCTGAATCAGACGCATCTTAGTCCTCAAACTGACATCATTACTTCTCAATAATTTTACTGGATAGTCCTGCATATCTTCTGGGGAAGTTAATATTAGCTCCTAGATGAGTCTCTCCTGGTGTAGACAGATCTCATTCATTCACAAGCACAAATCTTCAGAATTAGCCAGTCTTAGTTCAAAATGCCTCAATTACTCTAAAGATTATTTTCCTTGGAGGTAAAGACCACCACCATGTTGTTAGGTTCCATGGAGTCTATTCCAACTCACAGCACCCCATGTAAAACAGAACAAAGCATTGTTAGATCAGGCACCATTCTCACAATTTCTGATATTCTTGTTGCAGACATGTTGTCCAATCAATCTCCTTTAGGGTCTTTATCTTTCTGATCTTTCACGTCACCTAGTATGATGTCTATGCTGGAGATGAAAAGAGATAAAAAATGGAGTTGCTTTCATTAGTTAAAAAAGACATTTCTAGATCCACTTTGAAATACAGCATTGTGAGTGACAGGATAATATCCAAATGCATACAAGGAAGTCCAGTGAATACCACTATCATTCAAATATATACAACTAAAGCCAAAGAGAAGGAAACAGATTTGTACCAACTTCTGCAGTCAGAAATTGATCAAACATGCACTCAAGAGGCAGTAATAATAATGGGTGACTGGAATGCAAAAGTTGGGAGCAGAGAAAGAGGTTCAGTAGTTTGAAAACAAGGACTGGTGACAGAAATGAAGGCGGAAACAGAATTATAAAATTCTGTACAATCAATGACTTATCCATTGCATATACTTTTAATAAGAAACATAAATGCAGGCTATACATATGTATTTCATATGATGGTATGCACACCAGGAAGGGGGCAGGGGGAGACTGAAGGAGGGGCCGCACAGGTCAAAGACTGTAGCCTCGATTCCCATAGACAACCAGTGGACCAACTGACTGAAAGAGATCTGTATCTGTTCCCATTCCAAAGAAAGGTGACCTGATAAGAGTGTGGAAATTACAAGCAAGGTCATACTGAAAATGAACCAAAACGACTGGGAACAGCACATCAACAGAGAACTGCAAGATGTGCAGGCTGGGTTTAGAAGAGGCCATGGTACTATGGATATTACAGCTAATGTTACATGGATCTTGGCTGAAAGCA